AGGGCTTCACCTCGAGAGGCGAGGCCCGTGCGCGACAACGAGTCGGTGCCGTCTGGGGACGGCAGAAGAAGTTGGAAGTCTAGAGGCTGGAATGGTGAGTGATGGCTATAACTAGATCCAATTTTGCAAAAGTGCTGCCTTGTCATCCAAATCAGTGGAAGATCCAGGTATATGTTGGGATGATCCATGTGTGCAGAAAGCCCTCCCTGCTCATTATGGAGTCCAATTGGGGCACAAGACATCCCAAAACAACGCTTAAGAGGACCCTGTAAAAACCAAACAACCTGGTTCTTCAAAGTGACCTTTTGATATCCCAGCTTGAGGTCACTTGGGCCTCTAAAAGGCCACTTCGAAGAAGCTTGCATATTGAAAATTATGTGGTTAAATGTCTTACAGCAATCAACATGAAACCAAAACGTTTTCCAGACCAAGCTGCTGATGTTCTCCCCAGAAGTCCTATCAACTCACACCAGAATCTTCCTCTCCCCACCGGTGCAACCAGGTCCAACCCCCGCTGCACCGGTCCCTTGCCCCCGCGCGGCGGCTCGCGCCGCGGATTTCCGCCACGCCTCGATGCCAACGAATGGCGCTCTGCCCATCGACCGCCTGGATCCGCAGGGTTCCGCGGGGATCTGAGGAGCTCTGGACATTGGATCCGATTTGGTAGGTCCCTAATCACGCAAGACCAAGAGAGGTTAAGTGACCTTATAAGACCTTACTGAGGTACCTGTGGGATAGGCTATATTATCCAAATCTTATACCGGGCCCTGCAAAGGGATAGGTCCGCCCTGATGGAAAAAAAGAAACTGGTCCCTAATCATTACAGCAGTAGATGGCACTTGATCTCTGATCCGATTTGGTAGGTCCCTAATCAGTAGAACAGTAGATGGCGCAACAGTGCATGAAAATCTGCGGGCGGAGTGTGGAGTTCAGGGCAGACAAAGATCTGAAAATGCCTGAAGCGTCCGCACGGGTATGTGACACACGGTGGCATCTTGGGTAGTATGTCCCATGTTCTGGGACCCAGTGGATGATTATGGCTAGTAAAGGCCCTCTTCTAAAAGAGTGATCATTGTTTACCGGCCGTTGCAGGCAATGGGACACCCCCAACCCGTATCAGGACCCTCCAGCTATCTCCAGCTCAAATACTTGTGTTGACTAAGAACCACGGAATGCAGTCCTTAGTTGTCTTCTTGTGGTCTTAAGCCGACTTGCATACCAAATGTTGAAGAACCCTATAGATTGTTCCACTGGTAGGGTGCTTAAAATGTCACTTCACCTCTCTTGCATATGTGTTCGGTCGTCACCCCGGTTTGTTGATCTTGCGTTGGGCGACCTCCGGAAGCCCATCCGACTAAGCTGGCCGCCCAGCTATACTCGCAGTCGCCGACGCCCTGCAGGGTGTCGGAAGATGTCGGGGCGAGTGGCTGGTAGGTGAAGCTGTGTATATGGCTGCGAGAAAACAGGCTAGGATGCCTCCCTGCTATTCATGTTCAGCAGTCAATTAGGGTCCCTCTGTTTGGACCCAATGTCATCTAACTGCGGATCACCCTTCTATGAACCTCTTGATGCAACAAGACTGCCAAGCGGTGGTTTGTGATGGACGCACTTGAGGCCAGCGGGGCTAGGAAAGCGATCGGGCGTTCTGTGGCAGCGCGTCAACCCTGGCTAAGGATCAACGATGCTTACACTCCCGAAAACTAACAATAGACCCTGACAATTGCCCCCTGGAAGAGTGTTTTCCTCTACGAGTACCACCAACCAGTGGTTTTCAGGGTCCATGTTAGCCTTCCAGGGTGTATATCACCGCACTGACAAAGCTTTCACGCTGTCTTATCGACGCCCTACGGCAACAGCAGGTGACTTGCGCAAGTCTGTGCTGAGCAACGATGCTCCACGGCATCGTATCGGCTACTGGGAGGAGAGGGGGGGGTTCCAGTGAACCATCACAGTGTTGGCCTCCCCGCCTTTTTTTTCGGCTTGAAAGCAAAAGCCAACTCAGAAACACGACCAGCTGCCCTTCATCAGACCATCATCCAGAATTCAAGACTGATGGCAGAATTCAGCTCACACAGTCCAACCCAAAGGTTTGAACAATTCTTGTTCGAACGAATCCCAGATTTGACGAACCCCAGGTCTCGTGGTTCGGCGAAGTGGTCACGGTTCGATCCGCGCGCTCGAGAAAACGCTCATCCGGTGAAGCGTCCAAGCTGAACAGGCTGTTAGGAGAGTGTTTCTTGGTAGTGTTGGGCATGTATGAACATATTTTACAATATACCTCTAAATACGCAGACCTCCCTATTCGACGCCCTGGAACCCAGGTTCGGGGCTCTTTTCGTTGAAGCCGGGCTGGGTGTCTCACGCCTTGCAGCGCCCTCCCGCCTGCGTGCTGGGCGCACCAGGTTGAAGTCGGAACTCCTGGTTGCTGCGCGGCGTTCCGGTGGACGAGAAAAGCATGTTCAATCGGCTGGTTGCCTGGCTGTGTCTCAAATCCGCCAAAAAAAACAGCTCGGCTCCGTTTGGGGGATTCCAACATCTTCCCACCCTTCCAAGGGGCGGGAAGGGCTGGGGCGGACTGGATCGAACCTCAACTCATTGAAACCCGTTTCCCGTCCGGACCCGGACCGGCAAGGACCGGTTGGGGTAGAAAAACCAGGGTCACCCTGGAAGTTCAAGAGCATTTTTAGATATTGTGGACCTGGTGTTGTAGTGAACAAATCCTTAGCAAGATGATGGTGGTTCGGTCACCTAAAGTTGGTGGTTCCTTAGCAAGATAATGGTGGTTGGAAGCCTGGGATTCCCATCCAAAGTCTTTCACGAGATATATGAGAAATTGAAGATCTGGACCTTTTCGGTCGAAAGGGTGCTCTCCTACGGCTTAGTGTGCTTTTCCCCTCCACATTCCTAGCTTCAACATGTCTCAACTACTTTGCACCATACGCACCCTCAAAGACCTCCATCCAAAAGGGCTCCTTGCTTGCCAAGCCCACCTGTGGTGCTTCGGCACCTCCATGCGCCAGCGAGCGCGTGAGGCTGTTCAGGATCCGGAACCATATAACAAGCACACTGCCTAGAAGGGGGTTCCAGAGGGAATAAAAATAAATATATCATCCTATAAGATATCCCATACACCGTCTAGAAGGTGGATTCAACCATAGGGAACAAATCAATATCATCCCAAGAAAAAAACATGCAAAACTAGTCTTCATCATCTGTTGCCCAATGTCGCAACCCTTACGACACTGCTCTTGGAAGCCTTCCAGGACCGCAAAGCACTGGAAAGCTCGGGTGGTTCCCTGGCGCCAAGCACTCAGGTGGCGCTGCAGCGCGCAGAAGGAAGCGCGGCCCCGCACTGAGGGCCCCTAGCCTTCAATGAGGTTCACTTCGAAGTAATACTTTCCAGAAGCCTGGCCGCAAAGACGGCAAGGACTGCCATGTTTAGGTCGAAAAGTTCCAGGTCCTCTCGGTTCTCTCTCCCTCCCTCCCTCCCTCCCTTCCTCCCTCTCTCTCTCTTACTTGCTTTTTGAGTTCCCTTGTGCCTGCGTCAAAAGCAGAAAACAAATAAAACACATATATGAAAAGGATGAATATGGCATGGACAACCAGTCATCTATAGCACATGCTTTCGGAAGACTTCACGAACTGACCAACTCTGAAGCAGCCTGAGCCAACTGTGGGTAGCCCATGGTCACCCAATCCATCGCAGGGTCCTGGCAACGGACACAAGGCCGCCGGCAGCCCCAGCCTTATGACTGCGGGTCAAAACCCGGGGACCATGGTTGACCACAGAAAATGAACTACCTGTGATGTCAACCAACCCAGGTGTTTTCAACGGGTTCCGGGTGCCCGTTTCAGCCATATGGTCAAACCTCGCTGTGCGAAAAGCCATGGCCCGTGATATGCTGCAACAGAGGTTTAGGATGGTTTAAGTGACTTGAACTACTATAGGACCCGGAAAGCCTGGGGTACCCCACTGGGATCATCGAACCGTCGGGTTCTGACCCACCTGGATGGCTCCCAACCAAACCCTCCCAACGACCAGCTCCGCACGTCCTCGGTCGGCCCGCGGAGGAGCTCCGGGCGCACGGTGCCCTTGGCGGAGCCCGCCTGAAGTGCCGGAACCGCCGCGCGCAACGCGGTGTCACCGAGTGCGCTTGTCCCGCTGCAGGGGGGGAGTGGAAGGTGTGAAGCTGCAGGTGGGAATGCCGTGGGTTGGGGGGCAGCTGCATTCCCATGAAGTCCTGATCTATTTAGACCCTCTTCTTAGGGTAGTTTGGTAGTGATCGGTCATGCGCAGGTCAGGAAAAATGAGTCGTTGATAGCCCCTGGAAGTTCCAGGGAAACCTGTGAAGGATTGAAACAAGGACAGGGCGCGCCGTAGTAGTGAGAGCTATATAAATTGATTCTGTGATGTCAATCCTCCAGAAACGAGTTGCTATAGGACTAGAGATTCTCACTTCCCCATGCACAGCTGGGCCCCCGACCTTAGCATGGGAAGCCACCAGAATGACCTCAATGCCGGGACACTTGGCGCAGCATGGTCCGCAAAATTCTGCGTGGCTGTGACCTGTTTCATGACATATCATGACCATAATATACTAAATGTTGCACTTGAATGTCTTCGCAACTCCCAAGGGCCATTGCAGCGACACCTGTCCCACGCACTCACATGTTTCAAGATGACCAATTGCCAACCAAACTGCTTAAGTAGCAAAAAAAGCACCACACCAAAGGCGCCAAGCGCACACTTTTTCACCGCTCCGCTCCGCACACAGTGGTCGACACTTCTTCTTCTCAGCCAATGCCCGTGCCACCAACAAATCGCCTGCTCCGACTGCTGGAGCTGCTCCTGAGCCCGCCCACACCAACCATCACGCCCTCGAGCTGCCGCGGGCACCGTTGGGCCCGGCGACCTCCGGCGCCCCGGCGCCGGTCTCGCCAGGTCGTTGGGGTGCGCGGTCGGCGGTCGTCGTTCGTCGATTCGTTGCGCGGCGCGGCGCTCAGGTGCGGTTGCGGAGCATCGTCACGGAGAAGACCTGGAGACGGCGGCAGCGGGCGTGGTGGGAAGGGAAGGGAGGTGAGGCGGAGGCGAGGCGGCGGTGGGTGCTGGGCAGTTGAAGGAGAGGAAGATGTGCACAGGAAGAGGAGAACGGAGGCACGCCGCGGATTTTGTCCAAGAAAGTCGAGGAACAAGGAAGGATTATCGGAAAAGGCGGAATTCGAAGAGCGCTGAAGAACATCAAGGAACCATAAGGAACCCTTGAAACATTGGAAGAGTCGTGAAAAACCATGAGGTTTGCCTCAGGTTTCGGATCCATCCCGGTGTGTTGGCGGATGGACTGGGCGGATCAGCCGTGTTCAATGTCCAGGACTCGCCTTCAGTTCGACCCAAATGGGAAAGACCTGGTCACTGGTGAGCTGGTCCGCGTAAGAAATCCTTAGTAAAAACATGTACAAACAACGGTTGTTTGAGGTTCAGCTATGCCACCACCCCCAAGGGGTGGTTAATGGACACCCCTTAACAGCTAAGGGGCTATAAATAGAGACCCCGACAGGAGGGTCCTGGTATATAATGAATGGTGGTCCAGGAATTCAGTTTTTTTCAGCTTTGGACCAGCAAGTTCAGGTGCCGACGGAAGAAAATGCTGTACTCCAGCCGGTCAAAATAGAGCCTTTGGGCTTCTAGGATATATCTTTCAGCCCTGATCTCCCACATGTCCCACATGTCCCAAGTCCAGCACCTGCTTGAAGGTCAAGGCCAACAAGTCGTTGTGGTCACACACAAAACCATGTCCTCCGAACCCAATGGCAGCCGATTTTTGGGTCTTTTCTTCTGCGGCTTCCGAGATCTTGGACTACAAAGTGCTCCAGTCAAAAGGGGCTGACGACTCCAGTGCCGGACTCCGGTGCCCCACACACAAAAACGTCTCAAAACAATTGAAGGTGGTATCATTCCAGATTCAGATTCCACTCTCTCTCTCTCTCTCACTCACTCACTCACTCACTCTCTCTCTCACTCACTCTCTCTCTCTCTCTTCTGCCCATACAACCGCGGTACATCACCTCGGCGCTCCTGGCGTCAGACCGGATTTGAAGGTCTCGGCCTCGTCGGTGTTGGAGCTGATGAGGATCACGTAGGCATTCACGCGCTTATCCTCTCAGAAGGTCCCAGAATTGGAGGTGACTCTTAGTGCGGTTTCCCATGGTTACCCTCAAAAGAATGGGAGGTGTTGACTTGACCCCGCCCTGATAAACATTACATAAAATTACGAATCTAACATTAAGGGAACATCTACAGGAAACCCTAGAGCTTGGGGGTGAAGACATGTGAAAATCTCATGGATTCCTGTAGCACCTTTCCCTTCAACCCATCCTCTCAGAATTGCATCAAGAACTGACTCTCCAGCCGTTGATGCCATTGAGCATAAATACAAATGCAGTGGATTGAGAGTAGATGGCACAGAACCCCAAAAGGTTATATGGACCCACTCTCATGGACCCCCATCTGTCTAAGACATCATGTGGTCTGTGCCATCTACTCTTGAAACCACTGTAAGGAAGTGAGCGCCTAACAGGTTGGGCACTTGATCCGCATCAGCTCCTGGGTAATTACAAGAGCCGTCCTTGGGAAAAAATAACAAAAGGATGGTGACACGTGGTGAATCATTACAAGGAGCCATCCTGGGGCGAGGGTGAATCATTATGAATGAGTCAACATCTCCTTTCTTTCTTATTACAAGAGCCATCCTTGAAAAAATAAAACATCCTCCTTTCAAACATGTTTCACAAGGAGCATTGTGTGCTACTCCTTTCTTTTTCTGGGGGAGGGCACCACTTCCACCAGTTCTCCTGCATCAAGATCTTGTTCCAAGCACTAGGCGCAATGCCATATCTCCCCAAATCGGCATCACTCACCACGAAGACGTAGTACTCGTCCGCAGGCGTGCGAACCACATCCTGCGCTCTTCAGGTGGGTGTGTTCCCGGCATCACGCCGCACCAGCGGAGTTGGCACGACCGGCATTCTGGAGCATCATGCCGAACAAGCGAAAACCCCTGCTGGGTGGCCTCACTGATACGATCTTCCTGTGAGCTGATGAATGTGCCTGCCGCTTGTGCCATCGAATTGAAGAGATGGAGAAAGCGGCCCAGAATGGGAGCCGTTCCAAAAACAAAAACTTACAAACCACCCCCTTACACCTTCTCTTTGGGAATGAGTTGGCGCTCACTGGGTTCTGGATGGTGTCGGAATGTTTCGAACATTCTCACAACCCATCAAACAAACACACTTCAAAGCGACTTCTTGGGACTCGTGAAAGGTATTTTTCCACACAATGACCAATCAACCGCACAGCAATGCGCCTCTAAAGCTTGACTGAGATAAGTGCAAGCTGTCACTTGGGATCACCAGTCTTACAAGAACAAGCTGACCACAAGCTGCCACTAAAGTGAATGTCTTTAGTGGCCCATGTCACGCTGGACTTCCTGAGAGCCCTTTCAGTGTTGGCTTTCAATTGTTGCTTTCGGACATGTTGCTTGGTTTGGCTCGGTTTGGCTTGAGTTCGGGTTTGGGTTCTCTTTGCTTTGCCTTGTCTTGTTTCTTTGGGTTTCTCTCTCTCTCTCTCTCTCTCGCCCTCTCCGAAGAGTTTAGCCCAATTGGCGAGCGCCCTGGACCCGCCGTCCTTGATGGCCCGATCCGTCGCTTGCAACGTGTGATCGCCACTGTGCGAGTACTGCCTGAGACGCAGGCGAGGATGGGAGTCGTGGGCGAAAGACTGCCTACAATCCACAGCTGTGGAACACAGGTTGCGGCTAGGTCCTAGGTTAGATGAACATCTCTCTCTCTCTCTTGTTTGGTATACGCGGCGTGTGTGGGGATACTCATTGATACTCCCAAACTTCCAGGAGTTTGTACGATCCGTTGATCTTGGCTGGTTTGGCACCCAGCTATTGTGGACCAGCCAAGTGGTGGAGTCAGGAGTCAGGGGACAACCAGGTGGGGTAATTACATGGAGCCGGAACCCCTGGGTTCTTGCCAACCTGTGGGCCCGAAAAAGCCTTTCCTTTGACCGTACCCGATAGACCGTACCGTTCAAAACCAAAACGTAGCACTTCGGGCGCGCACCCGTCTCCGTAATAGGTGTCCTTCTTCGTCTCCGTGACCTGTTGGACTCAATCAACACAAAGGCGCCGGAAAGAAAAGCATGTACTGTATATTCGTCATTATTCGTCTAGCAATTTGACAAAAGTCAATATGAATATATATATATATATTTAAAGTAGTTGAAATTAAATCTATAGTAGTATACTAGAATAGTAATCCGCGTGAGGGGCCTCAAAAATCCCAAAGTCCAACAGAGGTTAAGTGACCGTAAATAGGACCCATCACCTGTGGTACCTATATATATATATAGGACAGCCTCCGGGGCCCTATAGGGACTTCTCAGTCGGGTTCTTCGACCTCTGCTGGGTGCCCAGGAGATCCCAGGAGCGCATGGGCGGCCATCTGCTTCACGATCGCCAGCTGCTCCTGGGCGCTGCGGGGCGGCTTGCCCCAGGACACCAGATTCTCCGCCTCCGGGCCGCTGCCGCTGTGCCCCACCATGGAGTACCTGGGAGACGCTCAGCCCAACGACGGGGGCGTTCCAAGCTCGGAGAGGCCTCAGGTTACCCCGAAGGGCCTGCCAAGGTCGTTCGTTGAGGCCTGGGAAGGGTCTCAGTCGGTGACCAGTCGGAGGGTTCTGGCATAGATCTTTCAATTAGACCTAGTATGGATCCATTCATAGCAAGGTTGGAGCCCTCATTACAAGTACAATCATCTACTCTCCATCCATTGCAGGCTGGAAACGGTTCGAAGCTGGGGTGGTTCACTCAGCTTATGTGTTCCAACAACTCCATGGTCTCCATGCAGGCCGTGGTGATATCAGGAGTCCTAGAGTCCGGTCCAGCCGGGGCGTGTCGTCTCGAAGGAATCCTGGACTCTGAAGACCAGAACCACCATGAAGGACTTAGCCAAAGACGAGACGTATGCTGTTCACGCATCTGTGACCAGGGAGGCATTCATATGGCTTCCATGACTGGAGTTCTGAAAGAGGATGAAAAGAGGGATGTCTTTTACTTCGGGTGTGCCAATGGCGCCAAATAGATACAGTAGATATACTTCAAGGGCATATATAATGTGAAGACATACAAGTTTAATGTGCAAACATGGTTTGCCACTAGAAGAAAATCTCCGCTGCTCCGCCGGTGTTCCCCCAAATGACAGGCTCCGGAGGTTCTTTCCCCGCACACGCAACAAATTGAAGTCTCCCCATAAGAACTTTATATGTCTTACAAAGCACGAACAACCCAAATCACATATATATATATATACTACAGCACGACCGTCATGGTTTTTCCCATGTGCTAAGCATGGGCAGGGCGCTGATACTTCTGTTCAAAGCCTTGGAAGCTTTCGAAGATGAAGATCGAAGCCTCCATGAGCCGCTGGAGTCGCTGATCGATGCGGTTGAAGGTGTACATGGAGCCTGGGGAGGCCGGCCGGGCGGGGGCCGTGGGAACCGGGTGGGTGGGATTCCCAGCGAGGGATCGCAAAGACTCAGAGCTTATAGAAGTCCAGTTCGACGGTCTTTGGCACCACAGAAGTAGGGGACATTCGGAACTTGCGATAGGATAGGTGTTTCTTCAGGTCCATTAGTTGAAGTAAAGGAACTTTAACTTTGGTGCATGATGAAGTTCACCAGAAGGTTTTCTATGCTTTCTAGCTGGCTCATCTGGCTCATCCAAGGCCAGTCGTCTCAGAAGAAGCACCACCATTCCAAGGGTTAGCCGTGATCAGCAGCCAAAGCAAGTGTATCGCGCTTTGATCTTTCAGATTCTTTCGGCCATTGAAATCAACTCTGATCAATCACCTGGCAAGGCTGTCTTTCATAGAAAATTCTGGCAAGAATGTCTACCAGGACCCACAAGGGGTGGTTAGTGGACACCCCTTAACCTGTCTATTGCATACACACCTGTTAGTTGGGCTTTATCCTGGATCAACATCTTGATCAAAGGATGAGTCCGTATCACGTCCTGCACTGCACGGCGTTTCGCCCAGTTTCACCATGCTTCACCCCTAATCATGTCGCTTCACCCCTTAACAAATGGTTTTAACATGTTTTAACCGATTTTAACTACAGGTGATGGACCCAAGGCAATTCAAACTCAACGGCATGTTTGGTGCAAAACCCTTAGTTCTCAGTTGCGGACCAGGAAAGAAGCTCCCAGTCGATGCTCTGCTTCTGCGTCGCTGGCTTCCGCCCGGTTCGGAAACTTCGGAGCGACGCCAAGGAACCGCTGCAGTCCATCACGAACTTGATGCGTTTGGGCAAGAGCTGATCTCCACTGGACCTGGTCGCCCCGTTTGGACAAGGAGCCATCAAGAAGCCTCCGCCCCCACTTCACCGGCGACCCCGCTGGTTAACAACAACAACAACAACAACAACAACAACAACACTCGGATCAGGATCTATTCTTGTGCCGCCTTTCGGTCTCTTATCTAGCCCGTTTATCTTTCCATATATCTTTCATCTATTTGTTTGGGCTGGATGAGAATTAATTAATGAACCACTTGCTTTTTCAAGATAAAGAAGAGAAATACACTAACAAAAGCCAATGGCACAAAGAGACTGTATGCATGATGGATTTATGTTCCCTTCCCACCCCATGAAGGTCAGTTCATTTTCGTAGATAAAATCCATTAACCATCATATATAAAGTGACTTAGAATCACTTCATCCACCGGAACTTCCAATCTAAGCACCTCGCAGCACCACCTGCCGCGCACCACTCGCCCGCCCCCGCCACGCTCGCCCGGCCTGTCGGCCTCCCCCCGGCGGCGGTAGATGTTCCGCGCGCCAACCAGGCCGTCGACGAGGCGCATCTCGTCGAGCTCGCCCTCAAACGTGGCTGGATGGCTGGATGGGATCCTGTGGTGGAGCCTCCAGGAGGCCTTCAGGAGGCCTCCAGGAGGGGGGGGTGGATTTCAGGGAGGTGGTGGAAAAGACACTTGACAAGGTGACCGGAGTTAAGGAATATCCTTTACATCAGTCGGTCAAAATATAGTCGAACTGGACTTCTAGGGATAGAGGATGTGGAGGACGGACTGGATGGGGTGCATTCAAGCAATGGAAGAAGCGCTTGTTTTGGTTCCATGAGGTCGGCTGGGGGAGATCATGGAAATGACAAATGCTGAACGAACGAATGAACCCAACCATGACTCCCAGAACTTCCGTTTTGACATGTGTTGACTCCTTAGACAGCCCACTGGGAGCCACAATCCACCACTACCAGTTGGGGGGAAAGTGATCAAACCTGGAGTCTGAGGGTTACCTAAACGCTCCATGGTCTCATGGTGGTCAGGGTTGCACCATCCAAAACCACATAGACTTCTAGGCCAGAGTCGCCGTTCTGGTGGCGTCTCGGGTTGTAGCGAGTCGACTCAGTCAAACCTGGACCTTGGATGATCTTGGCCCAGTGACCTGCACCTGTTGCTTCTGCCAGCTTCGTTCGCGTTCCTTCGCCTGAAGAGGGATGAGCCCTCAAACTACAGGGGCAGGGGCCAGGAAAAACAGTGGCCAAACAGTGTTGGAACAGCATTGTGTGACAATAACACCGAAAGTTAATGACATGTTGTGGCTCGAAAAACATCAAAAAGCCAGAGCCCGCAAACGACATGCAAACTGCGGGAAGGTCATGGAAGGTCCAGGGTGGAAAACGCAGCCCAAGCCGGTCGTTCATGTTCTTCGGACCCTGGAACCCACCAACCAAGTTCAATCATGGCTGGTTGTTGGCCAGTTGGCACAACTTGCAACCCTTTCAGGAAAAAAAGAAACACACAAGTTCCGTCCAGACTCCAACATTTTTGTTTTTGGTCGATTTGCTGGTGTCATTAGGTTCTGCAGCCAAAAACACCCAAACAATCCCAAACACCATAGCCATAAACCAGCACCCAAAAAAGGTGGCGTATGGAACCCCCGGCCCCCGAATGAAGTACTTGAACCATCCACTCACCATGGTGCGAGTGCATCTCGCACTAGGCCTCAAATAGGGGCAGCTTCCACCGCCTGCGACCGCCTGCCCCAGCCTCATGGCTTTCAAGCACCAGCCGAAAGGCTGCGATTTGTGCCTCCACCGCCTCGCGCAAGCGTCGGTACCTCGGTTGTACACGGCCTGCTTCCCACCCGTGCTTCACCACGCGCATCTCAAAAGTTGCTGGCAGAATTGTCGGCCTGAACAACCGGACACCGGAAGCTTGGCTGTTTGTGGAAGCACTTCGATGATAACTTTGCGGAGTATACATTCCCTCTTCTCAGATGGAAGTCGTTGCATGAATGGTCCCCTCTAGCCGCATCCGTCACCAGCTCAACAGGCCTCCCTCCGAGAACGTCCCAGTGGTGAAAGAAATTTTGAACCTCGGATCAGCCAACCATCAACTGCTGCTGGTGATAGGATAGACCCAAAACATGTGGACGACTGGGACTACCCCAAGACATAGTGTAGACATGTGCCGTGTTTAATTCTCCACTCCCCATCAGCAAAACTGAGTTGCTCTGTCTCATCATGGGCGCTCATCTTCAGCTCCTTCAGCCGATGTGCATAGGCCTCATCAGCCATCTGCTGCGCCTGAGCCATGCGTGGTCAAACGTCTGTGCAAGGCCTCCCCACCGTGCCACGCATATATAGAATGCGAGTTAGCATGGGTCATGGAAGGAAGTTCGCCCCATGCGTTCTGCAAGCGATATGTCCTTGTTGCTGACGCCAGTGGAGCTGGACGAATGAAATCAACCACCAACCAGCCATCAGGTTCTGTCATGTTCGGTCCAATCGGGGAGGCTTCTTGCCTCCGACCAACAGGCTGCCGCGACCTCAAGTATCCAAAAGAGTCCCCAAACAGCCAGAACCACCCAAACTCCGTCTCTCGTTTGCCACTCTCCTTGTTCCCCCTTCCTTGGGCCCTTCGCCCTTCGCTGTCCCCACGCCTTCCCGGAAAAAGGTCCCCACCTTCTTATGCCACTCCTCCGACACTTCCTTCTTCTGCTCCTCAGTGAGCATCACCAGCTCTTGCCCTACATCCAGGCGGTAAGGCCCTGCACGGCCACCGATGCCCGCCTCGGAGCAGGTGCGGAGATTCGAAGTTCAAACCCACCAGGGTGGAACGGCTAAAACAAGGATCCCCTTGTTAGGCCCGAAGGTAGAACGGCCCTCAATCAACCATCATAAAACCATCATAATCCCCCACAAATGTGAAGGGGTCTACCATCGACGACTTGGGGGGGTTCACTAATTATGATAAAGAGTCTAACAGGACATGACAAAATTTACCAGCAACATCCAGCACCTGTAGGCCACGAAGGGGGTTCCATCACCCGAAGGTCCTGCATGTTTCCAAGTCATCGCCAACAATAGAACCAAGGAAAAGTCCAAGGAAACACCAAAACAGCCCAGCCACCACCTGCACACCTGTTTACCTCATCCTGCTGCCCAAGCTGCTGTTCCAGTTCCACCGGAGCCGCCATCCCAAGGGCCTTCGCCAATGTGCTGTCGCCCATCCCAGTTGCCCGCGCGGGGCGCGTGCCGCTTGCCGGACTGGTCGGTGGCCTGAGCGAGGTTGTGGGTGAAGGAAGGGCAGGATTTGGGCGATTCGCATGGACCAGCGACACCCCAAGAAGTCCATGCATGTAATTGGCACCACTGAGGGGTTCCGGAATTTCCGAACTTCGGATCATCTGAAGAGCCCTCTCAAAATCTTGGACTTTTTAGAGGTCCCAGTGGCATCGTCATAGTCTCGCGTGCCCACATCTCCAGGGTCAAAGCCTTCCCCGTCATTCTCCTCGAGATGATCGCGGCACAGCAGCGCTTGGGGAGCGGGAACCCAGCAGCGCTGCTTTGTCGCAGGAACCCCGCGTCGCGAGCCGGTTGAGAAGGTGGGAAACCATTAAAAAAGAATAAAAAAGATATGTGGGGTCATGATGGTCGATGTGTTGTATTGACAGGGCACGAAATCAAGAATGAATCAACTTGCGATTTACCCATGAATTGGCTCTGAAGGTGATGATTTGGCGGCCAGGTGTTTTTTGGCCAATATAGGTACATAGCTGCTGATAGAAACTGAAAGATCCAGCTTTAAATGCACTCTGTCTGTCCGCATGGCACATCAACCTGCAGAGTTGTATCGAGTTGCACGCATTGTCCTTTGATACCTTTTACGACACAGGCACTGCCCAGCACCGGGCAAATCCCAGATCTTCACCTCCAATCAACTTCCATTATTACGGTACCCCTAGAAGTCGAACCACCATTGTTTAAATAGCCTTTACCGAACCACCATTGTTTTTACTAAGGGGTTTACACTACAAAACCAGAGGCCATCAAAGCAATGGTTGGAATCTTTTCACAAGAGCAGCACAACCATCAAGTCTCCGCATTCTCTCCCGAGTCATAGTGCTTGGCAGACTTGAAGTCCTTCCAATTCGGAGCGCGCGGGAAGTCCGAATCGTCCCTGCCTCCCTTGAGAGAGGACTCAAAATACTCACACACAATCATCAACGGGAGGCATGTAATTGCATGTCATTCAATGTCATTCAGCTAACTTTTAACACCAGTAATTTCAAGCGGACTACTTATCTCCGTCGTCCATGTTTGTCAGAAAATATCTGCAGCGAGGGGTATCGTTGGAAGAGTCGTGGCCTTCCAATACTCAATCCACTCACAAGCAATGAATAGACCAGGTGCCCAGATGTTCCGTAATGTAGATGGTTGATTTATTCATCAAACAACCATTCTGGTAGAAACGGTTTCACTAAATGATACTAAATGTAACCCTCTTTACCCTCTTTATACATGACCTGAACGCCATGAAAAACCCAAGGTCCAGCCGTTTCCCCCGCCCCACTTGGCCCCACATTCCTTGGGCAAGCGCTTCTGTGCGTCTCCATGCTTCACCGGCTTGGCGGTGGGGTTGAACTCGAAGCCGCCTCAAGCTGCGGTGCAGGGAACAAGGATGTGCTCTAAGCCAAGAGGCTGTCAAAACCTTTAAACATAGGCGGTCTTAATCGTTCTTGGTGACTTAAGCCGGCGCCATTGACATGGTTTCACGCTGTCTCACGGATTCACCCCTTACATGCTCGTAACATGCCTGCGCAGGGGCTTCTCATACCCTCTAGGCCCTAGGCCCTTTTTGGGTTGCAGCCAGGACCCACCACCACCAACCTCCGGCCAGCCGAGGACAATCTTACAAACCGACCTGGATCTTCCAACTGTGCAACGTGCGTGCCTTTTCACCCATCAAAACCCAGCCAAAGGCCAACAAGAGGCAAACATTGCATAGTTGGAAGAGTCTCCAAGCATGAAAATGGGCACCAGTACCACTTATTATAGAGTCATGTCATGTCATGCCCCGTCTTCTACGCAACAAATGGATGGCCACACTTTCCTCCACAAACAGGAGCACGCTGAGAAAGTGGATTTCTAGCAACCCTTGTCGGCTGCTGCAGGGATGTGACTAGAACCCAAGTCACTTGTTTGGTCCAAGGGGCAGCCATGCAGCACGCCCGCCAACGTCTCCCGCAGCTTGGAATCGTGCCAATCCTCGAATGCCACGAAGAACTGTCCAAGCCTGTTCGCCTGCCTTCGCCTGGACCGTAGAAAAGTTGACTTGGGTTTTGTAGTGCAAGATGTTCAGGAATACAAGGGTTGTTCGGGATTCAACCCCTAAATCAAATGATGGTTGGAATCCTATAGGAAAAGTTTTTTCTGATCTTTTCGGCCGACTAATTATGGCAAACCAGGGGACTGGTGGAAGGCTCTTCTCTGCTGGCTCTTGCAGCCTTGACTAAGAGCAGACGAGTCCCCTGTGTGCTAAACTCGCTAGAATACCTTTGACTTTGCTTCGGAACATTTTAAGTTTGTGGGTGCATACAGGCTATACAAACAACCAGTTTATGTCTCTTTGAGCAAAGCCAAATAGAGCCAACATCTTTCCCCACACGCCCCACACACGACCCGCGTTGCCTGGCTCCGCGTTGCCTGGCTCCGCGCCGGTCCTTCGCCGCGCTTGTTCCGGTCAAGGATCGAATTCGAAGACGTCGCCGAAGACCTCTTCCACTGGATCATCCGGGAAGTTCTCCTGGGCAGGCAGGCGACAGGCATCGGTCGCCTGGCCGCCCAGCGCCAGGCATAGAAATAGGGGCTGGCTGACTTTTGGGCCTCCCCTTAGTGCCAAGTTCTGCGCTGAAAAATGGTGATTTGGTTGGGGCATCAAGGCCCACCAGAAATGGTTCCTTCTGCAAAACTGGCTGCTTGGACGTTATTGCCTTTTGGTGTTGTCTCTTGCGCGTGCATCTTCATGTTCTGAATGTCCTGTGGGGTCACCGAGCAGCTCCTGGAAACCCCTGAGGCACGTCGCCAGGACCGTATCCCGACGAGCGGATCCCGAGACATCCGCCATTCGATTCGTGCAGCACCGGAGGAAGACGTTTGAGGATCCGATCCGACCATGGAACCAAACACGACGAATGGGATGGCCGATCCGGTGCCAGGGGGGGCCAATGGGGCGGCATGCATGCATTATATAAGGCAGTTCCCATGGAGTGGTGTCTGGGTGTGTTTTCAGGGAGTCACTCCGAGCACCCTTTTGGGGCTCGGAGACCGGCACCAGCAGCACAGCGAGCCAAATCCGAACATCGAGGCGCGAGATGTCGGACGATCTTCACCAGCTCGCGCGTGGAGTAGGGGTAGGACAGCATGCCCTCCTGCCGAAACCGTGATGCTGAAGGAGTTGGTCATGGGGTCGTTGGAAGGCCGCGGAATGCCTGACTGCCCTGGAGGGGGCCAAAAGGGATGTCAAAAGTATCGGGTTTGAAGGTTCGCCCCTGGGAGTCGAAGAATATCAAAAGAATGGTGCTTAGGCCCTACACTCCCTGGAACTAACATGGAAGTGGAGAATGGCCCCTTGGAAGACCATTTTCCACTACAAACAGGTGGTTTTCCACTTCCATGTTAATTCCAGGGAGAGTAGCCTCTGGACTTCTATGGTGACATCTTGCAGTCATGCCAAGTTCTTCTAAGTTTCGACCTTCATCGAACAGTGAAGCGGAGACTCTCGCTAAAACGGTCTCTGCCCCCTAGCCGGCCCTAGCCCTATACCTGTCTGCGTGATTCTGCGTGTGTGTCCAACGCTCCGTTCTTACAACCTCCTTCTACTTGATTCAGAATCTTGGCTTCACAAGCGGTCGATCTAGAACTCCGAACCCCCATCTGACCACCATAACCCATGCGAATCCTACAATATGAAGCGCCAAAAGATGGCTCTACCATCAGCTGAAGGCTACAGCCACCAGCTCTGCCAACCGACCAAACAACATCATTTGCCAGGCGTCATCTCCTCCACCAGGCGTCGCAGCTCCGCAAAAAGCCCCAGCAAGCGTACGAGCTGCTCCTGGTGGGAGGCACCAACAGCAGAAGGTAGGTCTTGGTTGGGGATTTGCGTCAAGAATCCTGTACCGAACGACCATTATTGGTCAAGTTCACCCTGGTCAAGAATTGTAGAATACTGCCTATTTGGGCTCGTCTCATCGATGTGGCGCATGCCATCAGTCTTGAAATCACTTGTAATTATCTGCTTCTAACAGCCCCACAACGCCAAATGTTAAACAATGTTAAACACATATTTATATATACCGATACCTTACAAGTTACAAGCAATCCACACAATATCCAAGCAATACAAAGCCTCCCGAACTTCCACGCACGACGGCGTGCAGACTCACAAGAAGTCTCTCCTGTGGCACTGAGGGTCCATAACTCCGCAGAAGTTCCACTTCCGAGGGAACGTCCGGGTTGTCGATGGCGTGAGAAGCGAAGACGTCTCCGCACTCGCGGTAGAAGTCCTCGGCACTCGCGAGTGGCCAGGCCGCTCAGGGGCGAAAAGCGAAAGGCTGGCGAAGGGGCCACGGATGTTGGAAGCCTTGCAGATCAAACTTGTTCCTACAAAGGTTAAGTTAAGCGACCTTATCATTAGGACCCGTAACTAGGATTACCCAACCCAGCTTCTTCAAAGTGACCTTTTGAAAGTTCCTAAGTGACCCTTAGGAGACTTAAGTGACCGAACCAACCAGGTTATCAAAGGGTCACTTTGAAGAACCAGGACTAGGATAGTCGAACAAGGTTTCCCCAACCTCTGCAGGTTAACCATGTGTCTGTTCCAACACACCGCGGGGATCCGTGTGGAGTCCATGGGATCCGGTGGGACATCGCAGGGCAGAGCCCCCGGCAGTCCGATTGGAGTTACCCGTTTGGGCTCCAGTCGTACCGAACCCGAGAAGGTGGGACTGGGGTGGCACCCCCAGGAGGGTCCAGTCACACCTTCTGAGGAGGTACGACTGGAGCCCTAGGGTTAGATAAGAACCATTGTATTCTGTTTTTTTATTTTTTTATGGTACGACTACAGTATTCCTATGGTCCAGGTACTTCTGGAACGCTTGGACCAAGATTCGAAACTACCTTTGACACTCCTAGCGACACTCCTAGCAACCCCCCCATTCCACCCTCCCCTTGGACAAGCCCCCGAAGCTCGAAACTACCAGCCCCGTACCCTGGCTCGCTTGCCAAGAGGCGTTGCCCAAAAACGGATAGCCCGGCCGGTTGGCCAGCACGATCATCCGGAAGCCCGCAGCAATGGGCAACACGCAGTCGTTCGACTCCACCTGCTCGGAGGTGGTGATGAGATGAGATGCCCACCTCCTCACCAACCACCAACCCTGGGAGTTCAAGACGTCTTTGGATGTCAAAAGGGGACCTGACAGGGAACTTCCTTGACTTGCTTCACCTATATGAAAAAAGTATACAAACCACCTGTTCTTTTGGGAGGTCTTCAGCACTGCTAAAAGGCCTTGCCCTCACCCTCACGAGCCTCACCCTCCCACAGCCTCGTCGTCGGGCGTTGAGAGTTTGGGTCCATCATCTTACGATCCATTGGCCCAACTTATATCCAGACACGACTAATGGGACTGCCGGTACATGACCCAATTCCCCACATGCACGAGATGCGCTGCCTCGCGGGACAAGTGCTCTGGCTTCATGATGGTCCGGCCATCGGCCAAGGAGAACTCACCATCCTCCGCCAAGCTCTTCAAGATGCACACCACTTCCAAAGGCGCCTACATTGTGAGAATGATCAGCAGGCTGGGAGGCTAGGTGCTCATTACTTACATAGGGCGGTGTTGCCTTGATTTTTTCCTGGTGAGCTGCTTGTACTACGGTGGCTGCGGGACTGATGTCCTACCCTTTGTCCGAACGGTGGATTCTGGCCTGGTATAATCAGTATAATCGCCACGGACCAGATTTTCGTGAGGAGTCCTGACATGGTCAGTTTGTCACCAAAAAGAATCATGGCATGGTCAGTCATGTGGACATCGCATCAGCCTTGTCTGCTTCATCGATGACCAGCACTCGACCATAGCGCACTGCAGAGACCTGGGCGGAGAACCCCTTTCAACGATGCGAGAGCGAGTGTAGGAAGAGACACGGGTGTTTATGAAAAATGACCCATCCAAAGAGGATCCACACAGAAATCATATGCTACCCTGGGAGTCCAAGACTATGTTCAAAAATGGTCTTTACTGGACCTGAAAGCCAACGGCCCTTGCTTCACCAAGGAAAAAGGTATAGCCTTTGGACTTCTAGGGCTGTACATCCAATGTAGACTCTTGAATAATACACCCCCCATCTGAATTGAACATCCTCTTCAAAGGGGGGGTTATCAATCAAGAGTCTACATTAGGTTGATTTCCAGGATTTTCCAGGATTTCAGCTGATCTTGCAGCGGACCCTCTTGCAGTCCGCTTCTCCGTGGTGGCTTCACACATCACTTCTTCCAGTCCGCCTCGCGACGCTCAATGCCAATGTCCGTTTCCAAACCCGAAGAGTCATCTTTAAGAAAGTTAAAAATCATCTTGCCCGTTTTTCTCTTGTGGAAGTGACCTCTAACCATCCGAAGAAAAAGGAAAAGGATAAACATCCTGATCATCCTGGTCTTCATACCGGATCTATTTACGCGTCAACCGTCCAGGCTGTTCCTCCACGCACGACTCCCGCGTCGCCACCCAGCTTCTGCCCAAGGTTCCAAGGGTGAATCTTGATAGACCACTTTCCCGTCTTGAAGCACGGGTTGGCCTCACTTCCCAACAAACAAATCTCTGGCCCAATGGACTCCACAGGAAGCAAAGGCGCCCACAAAGTGGTAAAGTCTTACCCCCCCCCCCACAATTTAAACAAAAAAACACTGTTTTCTACATCAAACCTATTCCAAAATTTAAGGGCACACAACAAAAGGATACAAAAGGTACGATGCACAGCACCCTGGATTCATACAACCCAAAATCATTTTTGTCGAAGGCTCTTCCCACTTGCTGTCCAAGTGACAGGTCAAGGACTGGACAGAGGTGTCACGATGCAACTGCAAATATTCCCGCTCCAGGCGCAACATGCTCAGAAAGCGATCCGCCAACTTGTTCTTGCCCACTCCTTGATTTCCTGAGCTTGGCGTAGCTTGGCGTAGCATAGCTTGGCGTGGTGCGACCGAGCGCAAGATTGAAGCTTCTAGCTGCTAGCTGACCAACCAACATTGCAAGCATGGATTTAGAGGAAAGACTGACTCCCCAAAAAATGATCTGAGTCTGACTTCGCTGTAATACTGACTCTTCCAGTCTGGGGGTGTTTATGAACTAATTATAGGGAACCAGGACAGTTGTCGGGCATGGGCCAGTTCGCGCCGCACAGGTGTGTACCTATACCGAACGCGAGGCACAGGACAATCCTGCTGGCAATACATGCACCCTGGAAGTCCAAGACCATTATTGAAATGTTGATCTGGCTTTGCTAGTGCAAAATCCTGAGTAAAACGATGGTTGTTCAGTTCGGTTAAAGGCTAGTTAAAAATGGCGGTTCGACTTAAAGGGTGCACAATACTAGAAACCCTGGCCTTCCAAGACCATTTAGGCACAGAAAGCATGTGTTTAAGGTAAACATCTACGGGAAACCATGGTCTTCACCTCCAAAACAATGTTGGTTTCCTGTAGATGTTGCATGAGGTGCATGATGACAAAACGGGGACAAACCGTAAGGTTTTTAAGTCTTGCCCAGGTGTCCGATGAGCAAGAGGTGTCGCTGCAGCAACCAGTCAATGAGCATCGTGCGCAACATGGCCACGTGCTGCGGGATGTCAACCTTGACTGCCATTTGGCTCAGGAAAATCCACGGAAAGAAGTATACAAAGGCAATCCATTGGAAAGCGTAGGATAGGAACCAACAACATCCTTATAAAAGCTTAAAATAGGGAGACCTACCAGGTCGACCCCTTTTCAGAGGAAAATTAACCAAAAACTCCAAAAACCTTTCGTTATGGGTATAGGATGGTATAGGTATCTCCCTATTAACATGCACCTCCACCACATGGCGCGCGGAGTTTGAGGACCACCACACTGATTTCTATGACCGCGAGGAAACCGGAAAGCGCCAACGGCCCTTTCGGGAGGAAACCCATGCGCAGGTCATGACCGAGCCCAAGGATCCCAAGAGAGGCTGAGAGACCTGAACAGTTGGATCCTGAGCTGGGGACACAATATATAGGACCCAGGCTTGGACCCTTAGACCTGGATCTGACCTGTCTATGCCAAACTTCTCACTTGGCTGGTGTTGGGATGCAAAGACCCAAAAAAAAAAAAAATGGTCAGTTGGAGATGTTCCAGGTCGGTCTGGGACGAGGTCTCAGGTCCGAGGTCCGGATCCCAGGCGCGAAGAGTGTGGAAGGCACCAGCTCCGGTCTCTGCGGACGACCTCTCTTGCAGCTCACGTTGCCGAGGCGCACCTCCGCATCCTCAGCTGCTTCCTGGAGAACCTCCAAATGATGTGGAGCACCGATGCAGCGGACCCAGTGTAGATAGATATATTATATTAACACACGGTTATACTGTGCAATGACATATATATATATACACTTTTTACATAGCTACAGTGGGATTGGAAAGAGAAACCACCGGTGGATGTGATGTTGTTCCCACATGTTCCCACTCCCTTGGAATCGAAAACCCCTCAAAAAAGAGAAATCTAGCCCTTAGGTGGTGAAAGGGAACTCCCTCTTCCGGCACAGTTCCGAGATCCGGTATCCTCTTGAAATACCCCCCGCCCAGCCCTTGTAGGCCATCGCTCCCTCCGCAGCACAAGTGCCCAAGCATCAGTCACCTCCACCTTCAGCGCGCCCCGCTGCCCCGCTGCAGCGCCGGCCGCCGCGTTCCGCGCGGTGCGCAGTAGGGCCTCGTGCTTCTGGCGCCGCTCAGTGTGCGCCTCGTCCCGGAGCTTCTGCGTCTCCTCGTCGATGTGCCGTGTGGCCGAGGGGTTCGGCATGAAGCGCAGGCCAATGGCGGGCTCCTGAGAGCATGGGGCCAATGGGATGAGGAGTGGATGCTGGAGGATTGGATGAGATTGGAGGCATGAGTTTCAGGGAGGAACAAACCTAGGTTGGCGAATGTCGGAGTTAGTTGGTGGGCTGGCATTGGATAGATTGGATTGGATGGATCATCTGTGCCAACGAGAGAATGAGTGAGTGGAGCAAATATCCGAGGTGACTCCGCGTTTCCCTCCCCAGGCCATCAAGTGGTCATCCCAACATCTTGAACCAGGTGCCATGTGGCGGGTCAAAACCATTCAAAACCTGGAGCGCACATGGTGGAGGCGCGACTTGGGACCGACACCAGGGACAGGGGGCCATGAGTGCCCAGTGAGTCGGCCTCGGACCCGCGTTAGCCATGTCTGCGTTCGTCCGGCCTCCAAGGCCTTCAAGCGCTCGCCGCGCTCTTCAGCCAGCTGCGCCTTCCGCTGCGCCTCCTCGCCGAACGTAGCGGGGCGTAGCGGGGAGTAGCGGCGGGTGCCGTGCCGAGCACCAGCCACCAGCTAATAAAGAAAGGCCACAAAAGCATCCTAGGAAGTTCCTGAGTGTTTGGACACGATCATGCGGACGGCACTTACAAACATCAATAATTAAAATAGGGCTGGCTAATGCCATCAAACCTAACATCCATACAATGACCATTTCTACAAACATCTTTCCCCACTGAGAAGTGGAAATATGTGGAAGTGACGCATGACTCAGCTACAGTGAAACATGGCTTGCAGGTGGCCGCCTGTCTTTCATACATCAACTGATCGACTGGTTGATGTTTTATTCTCTCACTCTCTCATATCATCTTATATCACATTCTCGCCCTCCATTCATTTGATGTCACTCGCCCTGCTGCTGAGCTCGCAAAAAGCGATGAGTCACCACCTTTCGATTTCCCTTAAAAAATCGAGTCCTCCTCCTGTGGAGATTGGCCAACTTCGATTAGCCGCCTTCAGACTCAGGCGGACCCACCAAAACTTGGATTTGCTTGAGGAAAGGGGATTTGCCAACCATGTTCCGATCTATTGTTCCGATATCTCCCCCGGTTCCGGGGGATTCACCGATTCATTTCATAGGGAATATACGTTAAAAAACCAGGAAGGAATACTTTTCGGCCATCGCCAGATCCTTCAACTCCTCAGCGTCTTCCAGGTTCACCTGGCAGGAAAAATGGCTGGGCACTGGGCAGGGCACATCCTGAAGCCAAGAGAGGTAGCCAGTGACCTGACAGGACCCTACACGGGTACCTATGGCATAGTCGAACTAGGGTTCTTCAACCTCTGTCGGTATTGCCCCAAAGCCGAATGCTGTGTGCACACTTGTGTGCACTTCTATTCTCACGAGAGGTGTGTATGGTCATCTCGAATCATTACCCGTGAAATGTTGAGTCTTAGATCCAAAAAGTCACCACTTTCTACCAGCACCCTGCAACACTCCTCTGGAGGCTTTTGGAGACTTAAAAGTGTCAGGTGGTGACCTGTTGGGTCCTGGTACCTTCAAACATCTTACCATATCTTACCTTGAAATATGCACCTCTTCAAGTCCGCACTTCGCCTGTTTACAGTGTCTGACTCGCCTGGTCGAACATCGGCCGGCTCCATGGTGTGGGGAAGACTCTGCACTGCCGTGGCCGGTGCTGCTATGACCCTGAAAAGTGGCGGGACCTTTCCGTTGCACCACCGATTTTGTTCGGAAAGTCCGAACTGTTTCACCTCCGCCCTGCGAACATTGATAGAAAAAACGTTTTGGATCGTTTTGGATTCCCAGGGGGGTTGACACGCCAGGAGAGGGTGAAGAAAACCTATAGAATCTGATAGACCATCTTATAGGTACCCCAGGTTTTCCGGGTCCTATTTACCGTCACTTCACCTCTCTTTGGTGGGTTGACTCCTTCAGTCTGTCTCACTTCGCCTCAGTCTCCACCCTCGCCTTCACGCCCACACCTGCCATGGCCTCTCGCATCATTCGAAGCACTGCCTGCACCGCACCAACCCGGCCGGTGGCAGTCGCCCACGAAGTGCGCCACGTTTCTCAACATGACCTTTGGGTTTCCAAGCACCATTGATTTACATGTTACACTCCCTGAAACAATCATGGAAGTGGACAGTGGCCCCTTGGAAGACTACTTGTCCTCTACCAAGAGGGGGTTGTCTTCCGTGATTGTTGCAGGGTAATTCGTCATATCATATAATGTAGCTTGTACCGAAGAACAGAAACAGGTCAAAGGCTAGGGTGGTGACGTAGATCAAAGTTTGAGCAGTTCAAACAGGGAAACCGCCTCGAGTGGCCTCGTGCCATTCATCCAGGCGGGGCAAAGGCTTGTGCCTTCAAGACATCAAGGACTGGCCTCCTTGCACTTCGTAAAGCACTGGCAATATGGTCGACCTATGCCTATGCTCCACCGCACGCACGGACTTCCACACCTTAAACCCCTGCTGCCGCTCATCTGAAGCCTTTTGTTACTCCATCTTCATTCTCCGGATGCTCTATTCATCTTTATTGATGTACCAGCAGAGGTTGAAGAACCCTATAGACTATCCTAGTTGGGTACTCCTGTAGGGTCCTAGTTCAGGTCACTTAACCTCTGTAGGTATACCACATACCCCACCCGCCCAGCTTCACAAGCCCGTCTACCGCACGAAGCCGCCTGCTTCGACAAGGGCGGCAGGAAGTGCACGTAGCCCGACAGCGCCGCCTTTACCACCTCCGCCTCGACGGAGGAGCTGGCAGTCGAGGCACTGAGGCGGCGGGCCAGGTGAAGCAGCTGACCTAGGTGCTGGGAACATCTGCAGGAAACCTATGGCAAGGGTGTCCAGTAATTAGATGTTCTCTTAAGCATTCTTAAACCAATTCTGGGAGGTTGACGACTTCCCCTGGAAAGAAGGAGCCTAGATGATTGGATTCATCGCCACGGCACAAATTCAAGAGGAGGAGACGAGACCTGCGGTGGAGACCCGCCAGTGCCTTAATGGGAGTGATGCGGCCACCAGGAGATCCCAAATCTTGGACTTCTACTCCCCTGCAAACGATCCCATAGAACCTGAGAATTCCACGATCTTCCTCTACAACCCAGTGGTTTTGGGATTCCATGTTAACCTGCAGGGGAGCAACAAAACAGGCGCAACATCTCCAAATCCAAGCGGCGCAGGGAGAGCACCAAGGGCTGCAAAGACACGTCTGACTTGGCTGCAGCGCGCAAGGCCTTGCCATATGCCATCCTCAGCTGCATGCCAAACCGATGCCCACTCTCTTCTCACACCAACCCACATGCTCTGTTCCCGGAAGAGAGAATTCATGAGAATCCCAAGGCCGCCTTGGTGGAACTGACTGGCGTTGGCTGTAAACATGTGGAACTTACTGACCGGCCCAAACAACCCATTCCCGCCATGGGGCCATGGCATTGACACAATCCACGTTGGCATTCGGGACAAGGATTGGAGGTGGATTGTGTTCTTTTCTAGATGGATTGGCATTCAGTTCGGGAAAAAGGAACACCATCCACCTGAAAACCGCCAAAGCCAGGCCAAGCATCAGGCCGTTCAGCACCTTGTGCTCCGCCGACAGGCCGCAGAGTTGTGCCGCCAGCTTCACCTGCTGCGCCGCGGGCAGCGGCTTCACCTGACCCAGCGAACGAGGATCCATGGGGCGGGCATCGAAGAACATGGAAGACATTGCTCCTTCTTGGTGGTCCCGAAATAGATAGTGGCACGGTTTCCAATACATTTGAGTGGGGATGATTACTTTTCCACTTGCTTTTCTCTCTATCTGTGGGTCTGTATGCATCAATGCTAAAAATCAGACTTCTGGGCATCTCAGGGCACTTCTGGCCAACCCTCCAAACAGCACTGATCTTTCAAGCACAATGAAGCCCCCTGCATTAGACCCCCGCATGCGTGCAAACCGCCTCCTTCGGACCCTCTGAACTCTCATCCCCATGTCTCTCCCGACTCACCACCTCGGTGAAGTGGAACAAGGTCAAGAGCTCCTCCTCCAACCAGCACCGCGCGTCCCCACCGGATCCGTTTGCGGTGGCCGGCTCGGCGGTGGCCACCACGCGGAAGGCGGGATGCACCGGGCGGAAGCCTTCGGCGCCTTCGGCGATCGGCGGGCGCGAGGTGTGGGTGCGAGGTTTGGGGGCGGATTTGAAGGGATTTGGAGTTTGGGGCAACCGGATGTTGAAAGTAGAGTAGATAGAGTTGGCAGGTGGACAGTTGGAGTGCTAGAACAGTCTTCTCTGCTGGGCATCTCTTGGTATAATTAGTCTACGCCATGCCCAACTAAGTGGAAGGGTGTGGACGAAGTTCGGCAGCGCCAAGCGACACAGTGCAGCAGTTGACCAGCCACGCTCCAACCATTGATCCCACTGCTCCTGCACCACTGGTCCGATTGAGGTCGGTGCGTGTCCAACGAGACTGAAAGTTCACAAGTGCCGGAGATTGCAAAAAGACATCTGCATCACAAGACAGTCTCACCTTAACATGAATCCATGATAATCCATGGCTGGGCAACTGATTCAAGAGAAATAACATAATGGTGAACGACTCAAGTTCCATGCCTTCAAACTGATCATGCATGTTAGTGAGAGGCTTTGCATGAGGAATTCTTGTCCCAATATGTCAATATGTCCCAATGCTTCCACCTCCTGCAGCACTCACACCCACGGGTGTGGAGCCCAGATCCCGCCTGGGGCACCAGGCGAGTGCCATCCGGTAGCGCGCCTTCCCGGTCCGTCAGCAGCCGCCCCACCGCGCCCGCCAAGGCACCGCCCGGCAGCCGATGCACGCCGTCCAGCACAGCCAAGCCACCCTCCAAAGCCGCCTGCGGAGCTGAGGAAAGGAGGGAAGACATCCCCCCTAAGGTCCTGGTTACCTAAGTAGTTCCCCAAAGACACTGGAAGTGGTTCCACTATAGTTTTGAATTGCTTTTTTCATACACCCGAAGACCCGCGCCGTGCCTGGTGGCCGTGTGGTTCGTGTCGGCCACTATCCGTTTAAGGTCCACCCTGTGCGCGGATAGCGCATCACAATGCCCCAGGCCTGAAGAGGTTACCATCCAAGTTGGGTGGCGCTTTTGGGATCGATCCTCCTGTCCCTGCAGTGCCCCGCGATCTACCGAAGCACGATCGGCCCGAGGAAGCCCTGACCGTCGGGCGCGCGCCTGGATCAGCGGCGAGGGCTGCCAGGTGGTGTTGCCCCGCTCGTCGGTGCTGCGCCGCAGCGTCAGGTCCCGGGCAGTCATGTCCTGGCGGGTTTGGGGCTTGCGGAGCATGTGAGAGTGGGGCAGTGGAGGGTTCTTGGTTCAGAGTCTCTGAGGCCCAGGAACCTCAGTTGGATGAGCAGGGGGGCAGCACCTTTCGTAAGGGATCATCAATTGGAAGCCCCTACACTGCTTCTGGATCTCCAACACCCCCCGAAAGGTCCAGGTAGAGGCTTGCGATGAGGTTCCAAGTGACGGCCCCGAGAGGGTACCGCACCTCTCATTCCGAAAACTCTTCCAAGTCGATCTACCCCGCCATCTGATACCCCAAAACATGCCCAAATGCTTGGAATGCTTGGCTCTGCATCTGCTTGCCAAGTCTGGCTGGCGGTTTGCCACACCCTCTCCTTGAAGCAGAACACCGTGTAAGTGCGATAGCCCAAGACTTCCGCGAAGGCACGGCTTAAGGCGGTCTTGCCCACGCCCCTCTCACCCACCAGGCAGAGGTCCATTCCTGTGTCCAGCTTGCAGAAGGGTAGCTCAAGTAGTTCCAGTCTTGACCCTAGGCCTAGTCTGGAAGGGGCTACAGTAATCATCTGCCTCTTCCAACTATGTCAACCATCTGCCTCACTTGGGCTGTTGCTTTCGTTTTGCGAAAAGGAAAAGAAAACCTGTCACAGTTGGAAAACATTCAGGTAGCTAACTCCAACGGAGTCTCGACACTCGGAATGGGAGGTTCTGGGTTTGCTGTCTATCTTTGCTATGTCAGGCGCCCTTCGGAAAAAAAAAGGCCAAGGCATCAGGTAGGCTGGAAAACCCGTGGACTCGATATGCATTGAGACAGAAGGCATCAGCTTATGGTGACAGACTACACCCACTTAGAATATATTTGTGTCTAAATGTTCGAGCCTACACTTAAACAAAAAAACAAAGAGATGCAAATGCACTTAGCACGTTGAGACTCAGAACAAAAACCGCTCACTTATAGAACATAGGTTGTTTCCAAAATATATTCCAGTGGTTGCCCATAGGAGCCTACTGTATGCATTCTTTTGGCAAAAGTTGCAGCTCCCCCTGCAACGCTGCAACGCTTCACATGGTTAAGGCTCATCACTAGGGCCTATGGTAGCAATACACTACACTACACAAATACACAGATAGACTATGGCACCAAACGGTCCCTAAACCTTACTGCACTTTTTGCCTAGACTACCAAGACCATTGAACAATGGTTGACCTGGTTTTGTAATGCAGAATCCTTAGTCAAGCAGAGTTGTTCGGTGCAGCCTAGTAAATCTACGGTGGGAATTCTACGTACTATAGGGTTTTCAGTCGCCCCTTCCACTACCGGTCGCCTGCCGCATGATCTCGCAGCATCTGCCCCAGCACCGCCCGCTGCACCGGCGCCAGCCGCGCCAGCACCGCAGCGTGTCCACCTGCCGGGCCAGTTGCGCCACAGGGGCAGAGCGCGCTGCAGTCGCCGGTGGCCTCGTGTGGAGTGCAAAGAGTGGGGGGAGAAGCCTTTCCATCCCCATTCAAAGCCTGGAAGTGGCACATGGCGCATCCCAAGACCAAAACTGGATCCACATGCCCTTAAAGAATGTGCTTGGACATTCTGAGAAAGTATGTGAATCCTTGGGACAGACCATCCACCAAAATTCATGACCTGGATTCGCCATGCTGTGCGCCTAGCAAAAAACAGCGGCCAAGCCTTGGAGAAGGAACACCATCAAAAAGTGATTGAAATCCTGAACCATTCGCGTTTCTTGATGCATTGATGCTTGTGGTACGACATTGGTTTGATGTGATGTGTTGAAGCGATTGGTTTCTGATGTCTTTTGGATCTGTTTAATTTCTCGACCGAACACCTTCTGAACGTGGCAGAGAATATCATAAACAATCTTAGCCATGTAGTACATAAGTCCCGGGCTATGGTAAGTTAAGGAGAACCAGGAGGCGTCTATTGTGCATAGAGAGGACCCTGCCTCATAGGAGAACTCCTTGTAAGCTCCATGCCTGTCATTTATAATCCCTAGGGCTCCTGGCCCATCTCCTCAGGAGGCAGTTTGACCCCCCCTGGCACCCACCCCAACCGCCGAACAGCAGGAGGTGGTCGGTGGTTGGAGCTCTTGGAGGTTGGAGCCCTAGATGTCTTCCCCCTCTTCAGCTGGCCGGTCTTGCATCACAAGAATGCTACTACTGAGCCCTTCCACGAGCCAAATTCTGAAAGCACACCCGGGCGCAGTGCTCCTCTGTGGCACTTGCCGAGGTCAAGCGCTGGCGGTTGGGCAGTCCGCAACAACTGGACGATGTCAATATCTTGGGACTTGCAGATTTCAGGAACCGGACAAAATCTTCCCCACCAAAAGAGGTAGCCAGTGACCCCAGAATAGGACCTTACTCGGTTACCCTGGCCTGGGATAGGCGAAGGGCGTCGGGTCCTGACCAACCTCTGTTGGTACATCGTCCCCAGCTTCAGGAAATTCACCAAGTGTGGGGCACATCGAACATCGAACATCACCGCACCCACCAGGACGGTGGAGCGGTCGGAGCCGCATGGGCGTCGAACCTGTGGTCAGAACGGTTTCAACGGCAACCGAAGAGTTCCAGAAACCCCAATAAGATCCTACGGAGGTAGCCAGTGACCTGAACTAGGACCCTACAGGAGTACCTATAGTCGAACAGTCGGGTTCTGACCCACCTCTGCTGGATGGCAATGGCCGGGTTGTTTGGAGATTTCCTAGCCTAGCCATGACTTGAGAGTTCGGTTCACCTCATGTTTTGTAGTCTAAGTTCCTCAGTGCAACGGTCCTTTGGTGAAACACCGCCCCGTCACGGACCCGTCACGGAACCGCGAAATCGACTTCCAGCTCCGCGTCTGGAGCAGAAATCAAACCCCCCGTTGACTGTTGACTTCTCCACTAAGTCACTAAGTATAGTATAGGATGTAGGGCCCCCCCACCAAAAAAAAAGAGAACAACTCCACTTCTCCATCATCGTCCTGCAACTTCTCCACTTCTTTCAGGTTGTACCCCTCACCACTGGCACTCGGTAGCTCGAGCTGGTGCATCTTCAAAGCGGCTTGGACCCCGGTGCGCTGGGCGGCGCTCAGCGGCAGCAGATTCCAAGGGAAGGCGCTATGAAGCGCTGTGGCCTGCGTTGTCGTGGCCATCTGGCCATATCTGAATATATCTGAATACAATAACTCCAAAAGGCCCTAAGTATGTCCAAGCGCATCCAAGTGCAAAAAACAGTTGACTATCCTTCTCTTTTCTTGGGGATTCTGTGCCTCAAATGCGGTATATATAATAAGTGTCTTCTCTGCTGAGGTGCTTGGATGGCTATCTGACCATTCTCATCTTCTGAGTATTGGAAGAGGGGGATGGGTTTCCTTCTCAGAACTGAAGAGTTTGCGGAGTTGAAATTGAAGGACCCTACCAATCGATACAAATCCGAGCGTGCACATCAGTCTTCAGCAAGTCTTCCAAAGAAATGGCACCAAAATTCCTCTACAAAACGCCGATCAGGAGGACCTCCAAAACACAAGCTTGCACTCTAACCTCCGGGCATGGCACATTGGAGCGGTCTCGCCTCAGGTAAGGCTGGAAAAAGCTTCAGCAGCTTCATCACCGAAAGCAGTCCGAACTCCGGAAACCGCGGCAATCGAATCTGCTCCTTCTGCTCCGATCTCCTTGGCGGCAAGGCGGCTCCGATCTCCAGGCTCGGTGCGGTGATGGTTGGATCGCGTTCTTCGAGATTCGGCGGGCCCCCGACATCTGTCTTATAGAAATGTCTGTTTGTTGCACGCCAGGTGCGGAAGATGCTTTAATTACTATCTGAACGTTGTCCCCCCAGGGTCCGCTTTTCGCATATCCCAAGGTGCCATAGCGCCACCACGGCTGTGAGCCTGTGGAAAGGGGGGGGGCAGCCATGCATGTTGGATGAAACAGGCTCGGAAATGCTCAAAAATAGAGATCTTGGGCCACGTGACACGCGTGTTGTTCCACATGTTAATCTGTTTCATGATTTCCCCCACTTCTTCTGAACACGAACTGAACCGCAAGTAATTGCTTCACCCACTTCGTTGCCAAAAACGACGGGACCCTCCGCACTGCCCGCGCCGCGCGGGGCTTCTTCCACCTCTTCAGCAGCTCCGTTCGTGCACGTCCCTTCTCCACCGCGCTCGCCGCCACGTCTCCCGGCACGCGCTTCGCCGCGAAGCGCGAGCGCAGCGGCGGATCCAGGGCCGTGCCCGGGTAGGGCGGCACCGGTAGGCCGAGGGCGATGACCAGGAAGTTCCTCGTCCCGCGGAACAGCGGAGGGCGGACGGCGTTCTGACCCCCGCAGGTGTGGCATGGCAGTTCTGTGGAGCTGGGGAGGCCGAACGTCCGTCCTAGTCCAGGTCGGTGGTGCAAGGCTTCAGACTACCAAGAGAGGTAGCCAGTGACCTGAACTAGGACCTTACTGTTGGCCTTTGGAGTTCCAATCGGGGAGCCAAATATACCCTGGGAGTCAAGTCGACTAGAAACAGAATGGTCTGACTAGGGGAACTTCCTTTACCCAGCCGGTCAAAATATAGTGGACTTCTAGGGTATATACACTCCCGAAAACTAACATAGACCCTGACAATGGTCCCATGGAAGACCATTTTCCTCTACCAACCAGGGGTTTTTGAGGTTCCATGTTAGTCTTCTAGGGTATGTCGAGTCTTTGGACTAGTCTTTGGATGTCGAGTCTGTGGACTTCTAGGCTGCCAACCCTCAGTTCCCAGGGCCTTTCAACGGTCGGCACGGCGCACCGTACGGCCGGTCGGCACGGCGCACCGTAGGGTCGACATCGCCGACCGTGAGGAGTTCAAACGACCAAAGCGACGAATGGGACTGCCGAGAGTTCCGGCCAGGGGTGGTGGTGTGGGGGTCAATGTATCCCCGGCTGAAGTCCAGTTGGACTATATTTTGACCGGCAGTAAAGGAAGTTCCCGAACTCAGTTCCCCTAAAGACCATTCCTTTTTATAGTCTTTGACTCCCCGGGTATAGGATGGTATAGGCATATATTTCCAGTCCCATGGAGTGTAGGGGTAATCGCCTTGGAACAGTCTGCAGTATTTGTCTGCCCGCAACTGGTGCAAAGGCCAAGGTTCTTCGACACCGGCAACAAGCGCCTTCCCCCTTGCGCCGCTTCTCGAATCTCCTTCTCTCGACCCGGTGCCATGAGAAAACTGCCGTCTTCCAGTGACATCTCACGGTTTTCCAACAAGTTGTTCAGCAAGGGCAAGACGTTTCGCTCCGCTTTCCTCGAATGGAAAACGGCATGTAAAACGGCCATGAATTTTCTCGGGGGAGACAAGGTGCTGCGCCACAACCGGTGCAAAAGAAGCCTTATTTCGAGGGGGACTGCCTTCAAGCTTTCGGAAGGCCTTCACAAAAACGCGGCTCCAATCGGCTTTAGCACGCTGAAGCTTGTTAAGATCAACATCAAAACACGTGCCCACCACCAAACACACATATGCACAAAAAAACAGCAGCGAGAACATGCGAGAACCAAAGCAAAACGACCATGCCAACCTGCCAGCCCGAGTGGCTGGACGCCTTCCAAAATCAGCAGCCGCCCTCTGAGGGCCGCTTCGACCGCTGGGGCGTTGTGGAACTGAAGCTCTCCATCGCAGATCTCGCGACGCTGCTTCCTCGTGGGGCGAGTCCGCTGCAAGCAGCGGGATCGGGCTGACACGGAAGGACGTTCAAATTTATGGAGTACCCGAGAAATCCGGCCATCTTGCCGCATCGGTTTTATCCAAAACAAGATTCGATTCACTATCGCCTTTTGGGCAAACGATGACTCCAGCTGGACTGGTTTATCAGGTGCTTCGCCAGAAAAGCATGGGCTCCACCCCCTAGGGCTCCTGGCCCATCTCCTCAGGTGCGGTGCTTAGACCCCCCTGGCACCCACCCCTGGCCCACCAAACCCACCTCAGGTTCGGTGGGCCAGGAGCCCAAACGGGACCAGGAGCAACCCGTCCAAGCATCAAATCTGCTTCCGTCGTGTCTCGCGTGATGCCGATGTATTCCACCTCTCGTCCCGTTCCTCGGCGGGAGCACCGGGTGGACCAAGGGGGACATCACGAATCGTGTCAGTTTGTGTCAAGGGTTGCACTGGGACTGGGCCTCGCTTAAAAAAGCACGACTACCAAGTACATCTATAAGTACTATACTGTTACTACAGCCAAATTCTTCTGCAGAGACTTCCTGGTGCCAGTGTCCCAGATGAAATCGCAACATATCCCCAATTTGGGCCTTCCGTTCGGCCAAAAAGAACCGGCGCTTAGGTCCAACACATCGTCTAAAACATATGGGTTCTTTGTCTAAAGCAGGCTTCAATCCAATGGACCACCAGCTGTTCCGATCGATTCCGCCAAGCTGCGAGCCGCGAACTGCAAGGCCACGTTGCGCAGATGTGGCCCTGGGTCGCCCAGCAGAAACATGTCCTGGGTCGTCCCAGGCTCGAAGCGAGGCGCTGCTAAGTGACGGGGCGCCGCGCCAAGAGAAAGCAAAGCGTCGGAAAGCGAAGCACCGTGGACTTCTTCTTTCAGGTCGCTGTGCGGAGCGGAGAAGAAGCAGAAGAAGAAGCAAAGAAGCTCTGGAAGAAAAGCGTGACTGAAGAAGTCGTGTAGAAGCTCTTGACGATGGAACACTACGGAATGTGATTAAGAACGGGGCACAAGGACTAGACTAATTATATAAGTTTGTGTTGTCATTGTATGTGTGGTTAAAAATTGAAGCAAATATATATGTATATTCTTTATGTGGTTGTATACTATGGTTACTATGCATGGTTATATAAACTTATTATGTTGTGCATGCCATTCAACCAAGCATCTTGTTTCAAGTAGCACTTCTGCGCCATCCACATGAACAGCTCCTCGTTCCCAGGCACTGAGGACCCTCGCACCGCCGGCACTGTGGGCACTCGCAGCCGTGGCCGAGCACCGCTGTGCCGTGCCGCTGGCGCGGGCGCGACGTGCAGCGGCGGCGGTGATGGGAGAAGACCTCAAGAGACCCTGACCAAGAGCCAGCAGAGGTTGAAGGACCCTAGTTCGACTATCCCAGTTCGATACCCCAGGTAGCTACCGGGTCCTATGGTCCCGGTCACTTCACCTACCTCTCTTGGAGAGGTGGAGGGATCTGAAAAAGGACACCAGGCTGGGTTCAGACTCTGTTCGGGGGGGCATCACTTGAAAAGCGACTCCTTTCCCGAAACCGCCTTCCGTTCGACCATGAAGAGAGTAAGGTTGACCTGTAACTTAATTAGTAGCTAGCGCTAGTGCAAAATCCATTGTAGAAGAATAGTCGTTCAGGATTCAGCTCATGCCTTGGGTCTATCCTAATACCTGGGCCCAGTGGATGATGATGGTTGGTAGAGGCCTTGTTCAAAAATAGTGATGTTCTTGTTTACTGACTCTTGCAGGTAAGTTCGGACAGACCCCATAATCAATGATACGGATATGTACGGAATATTATACACGTTGTGCCACATGTGTTCAGCCCACGACCTGAAAACATCCTCTTGGGACAAACCCTACTTTTGTCCTGCATCCTGCTCTATGACTCTATGGTCTATAGTTTTTTGCGAATGTTTGGGGATAGAGCCGCAAAGAATAGACAGGTGAAGCCTTGTGGCAAGGATCCCTTCGCACATGAATTGTCATCCATCCACTTGAACCGTCACCCCTCTATCACTTGACCATGGGGACATGATGGGCAAATCCGGGCCACCTGAAGCTCCATTGCGCGTTGCCTCCGTGGACTGCAAAGCTGTCTTCGGCGTCTCCGGTGGAGGCCATGCGACTGCAGGGGAAGCAGAAGCCTCCTCTTCCTCAGTCATGTTCTGAGCGACCCAGGAGGTCATCTCTGAAAACGGCTTTCGGTATATGCAAGAAGAATGCGCACTCCAAAACAGCCGCACAGCTGCGATCTCGGAACGACCTAATAGTCCTCGTGCAATGCTAATCACCTACGCTGTCCCGTTCGAACTCAAGCACTTGCAAGATCTTGTAAAGCTACCTGGATTGTTGAACTGTTGAACATGGATCCAAGGTTTGACTACAATGCTGACGATGTCAAAGATTGTAAAATACCACCATGAAGTTTGGGTTGTGTTGCATTGTGGTTTAGTTTGTGTTTTGCCTTGGTTATCACAAATCACGTGGGTGGAGAAGGACTTCTGGATTACCACTCCATTGTCTATAGTCTATATCATTATATATCAGTCTATATCAATGTGTCATTGACGTGGTCATATGCCACTTCTTACATGCATGTTTTGCACCACGGCATGAGCTGGAGATGCCTTCAGCACCCTCTGGAATGCCACCATTCAGTGGGACGATAAACATTCAAACTTAACAGCTTGTCGTCATCATCGAGTCAAACAGCAAATGGTCGTATCAGTATCCTGCTCGCCTCCTTAGGAGCGGCCAAGCAACGCTTTGCGAGGACTCACCCAACCAGACTACAAACCAGGCAACGGCGATGGCCAAACTAAAAACCAAACACACTGCACAATGAAAGTCGAGGACACGGCAAGTTCTTTCAAACCAACACGACGTATTGCCCGAAAAAAGAAACTGCCAAAACAGGGACGCTGATGAACCCAGCTGACACTCCAGCTGACAACCCCAATAGCAAATCTCCGCAATCTACAAAGTGGTCTGTTCTTATTCATGTGAGAAAACAACACCCAGCAAGCTGCAAACCCCGCACCAACCCATCGGCCGCGATGTTCTCTCTGTTGCTGGGCGGTTCTGTCTGACTGCCCTTCAAGTGCCCTCCCCCTTTTTCGCACACCAAAGCAACCGTGTGGACACGAAATACCAGACCCAAGAGCCCACTAAATGTGTCTTTGGTCCAGACAATTGGGTGAACTTCAATTTCGGTCTTCTTATGACTTGAGAAAAACAGCTATTTTGGCCCTGAAAGTTTGTCAATATTCAATGTCGGAAGTTGAAACAAACTTGAGAGAGGAGGGGGTGAACGAAAGGTAGCAGGCAATCACAAGTAACCCTGGTAGAAGTCCATGACGGCGTGAACCGGCGCAGGGGGGATTTGATCCAGGGGGGGGGGCACGACGAACAGAATCAACTCTTACAGGACCAAACTCAATGCACAATCCCAACTCCTGATTGTAATACATTTTTGCTAAAGCAAGGGGAACTCAGGTAGCTCAAGCTACCTTTCGTGAATTCATGGTTGCCATGAATGCTTTGTATTTGGAATGATTCATTTGGCGTCCTAAACACTGGGTAAACTTGGATTTCGGCCTTGAAAGATTCAAGTTTGGCCTTGAAAGAAGAAAGTTATCCCCAAAAAACACTGCCCGCATCTGCATATCATGACCTATCTGATAACATCAAAAAAAAACATCTGAGTCATCTGATATATAATCTTAGACATTCCGAGTCTCTGACACTGATCCCTCATCCACCATCAAGGACTCCAAAGACGGCGGCCCTCCCACCGGCGCTGCGACAGGGATAGCAGGGACCGGTGGCTTAGCTGCGGAGGTCGTGGCAGGCGGCTTGGCCACGGGCAGAGTCTCATCCAGCTGGTCGAAGTCGAACATGGCACCGCGCCGGCGCGGTGCCCGTGGCGGGGGTTCCGGAGGAGTGGTGAATGGCAGGATGCTCACAAGGAAGGGGAAGGCCACATGGTGAGGTCTTGGGAGTTGATGGGTTGGGTTTGGTGGGTTGATTGGGCGGTCCCGCTTGGCGGGGGGGAGGTCGCCGTAGAGCCCACTGGGTCGGTGGGACGGGGCTTGGTGAGTCTGGAATGGGTGGTTAAAAAGTGGCGGTCCAAGAACCCAAACGCCTTCAAAAAGCAGGTCGTCTTTCCTTGAACCCGATTTTGTGACATCCCTTCAGATGAACCTGCGAGCTGTTGCGAGCTATTTTGAGCTCCTATCAGCCAGAGTACCTTCGGTTGAGCGAAGGTCAAGAGTCGGTGTGAGAGTTCTCAGTTTGGGGTCTTCAGCCAGGGGCACACTTCTTGAATTGAAGCCATTGAGCAATGTGTGCGGTGTACGTACCATTCCTCTACAATCCTTATGTAGGTAATGTCCAGCAAAAGCGGGAAATGACGTCGAGCATCCTCAACTACGAGTACCTACTCTTCCGCACCTCCCATCTAAACAATGTAGTCTCAAAGCTTGGCGAATCCGCAATTTCAAGTGATCACTCCAGGTGTGGCTGACTCCCGATGCCGTTCCAAAAAATGAAGCAAACTTTCCATCTGTTGGTTTCCACTGGACAGCTACAGTGGTCTTAGAATAGATGGCGCAAAGTTACCCCAAATGGTGGCGCAAGTTGCCCCAAGTTTGGTGGCTTATATGGAACCCCATTCTCTAAGACATCTTGGGCCTGTGCCATCTGAAACCACTGTATCATACTGTGGGCCCCCCCGAAAGTTCGGTTGGATCAGGTGATCCACTGCTGAGCTGGCCCAATTCTTCGTGATCACCTCGCTCAGCACGTGGGGCGCCGCACTCCATGCAGCTCGTGGTCTTGATACTCGCTCAGCACGTGCGCGTACTTGTCCAAGACCGCCAGGCGAGACCTGGGGAGAAGGATCAGGGTCTCGGGTCGGAGGCGCATGGACTATTCTCAGCGCTGGCAGCGAAGATCCATTTCAGAAATGGGATGAAACGGGTATACATACATATGTACATACCAATTGTAAAGCAGGAAAGGAGGGGTCATAACGGACGTTTTGTTTATGGAGCTTGTATCAGCACGCACGGCAGAAACGGGGAGTGTCACTGGGTGTGTCCTAACGCTTTGTCCAGGGATCTGGTATCAATGCGCAGGGTAGATAGGGGGGTAAAACGGAATTTGTTGGGAAATCTACGACACACCTGCACAAAGATGGGCCTAAACACAAGTTGGCACCAAGTGTGCTCTCACGTCCGAACCATCCGAATCATCTTCAGGCGCCACTTGTTCAACGTCCCACATGTCTCACAGCTGCGCCCTTTTCGCGGCTGTTCCTGCAGGTCGCACCTCGACCTCCATGCTCCGCGAACAGTTCCCCCCCAGCTCCCCCGCTGCCCGTCTTGGCCGTTTCGCTCGCGCCGTTGCGCCCCGGACGAGCTGATGCCGCCGGAGTCGGTGCCCGCAAACGTGCAGCGCAGGCGGACGTCCTGCAGGGTCCGAGGCGGACGGATCAGGGCTGTTGGTGGTGGTGGCCGGATCTGGAAGGGTCAAGAAACCTTGAGAATCTTCGTGTGCCTCAGCTATTCGATATACTCCCTCTCAAAATCTCTATCAACGCTTCCCCCACTTGCTTTTAGGATAAGTTTGTTACTGTTAGAATAACTTTCCTCTCCCTCTCAAACCCAACCGTCGTGCACGTCTTTCGTGCAAACATCGCCATCACCCATCATCGATCTTTGCGCTCCTTGCGCCGAAACAAAACCGCGCGCGCGCCACATGTCTCGCGGTTCAACCCGTGTGAAAAACGGGCGCGGGCGGAAACGGCGGACACCTTCAGTACCAGGTAGGAGTCGCCATACTGCCGCGCCGAGATCACGCCCCGATAGTCGTTCATGACCTCAGTCTCAGCTCTTGATGAGCCGAATAGGCCAGGGGCCAACAGAGCCGGTCGCAGGGGCGGAGATGATCCAGAAAGACCAGAAATCTATACCAGGGCCCCCTGTTTGGGAAGTCCAATAATAGCTCCTTAGATCTCCTTAGAGGTTTATGAGTGTCTATTAACATCTATTAACCACCCCTTAGGGAGCCTGGTCGAACTCTTCTTGGAGTTATGGAGGGATCCACAGCCCTAGCCCCAAACTGCCTAGCAACTGCCCCCCCCCTAGCTGGATGGTCATCTCAGGAGTGATCTATGGATGATGGAAGTTGCATGTCTTCATTTATTGGTTAAGGTCACAAGCAACTTGGACATGTCAAGCCCTAGCCCATGCTCTTCAGCTGGCTCTCGGATGGCTTTAACCTGGTTTAACCCACATGGTCGGGATTTGGCCAGGCCAGGCCCGAACCAAGTGCCGCGCCCCAGGGCTTGCAAAAATTGCTGATAGCTTCCAATCGATTTGTTCACATTCCAGGACCCTAATACCCTGGTTTCCTACCTGAGCCGCGCGAATCGCCTCCTTCCTCGCCCAGCTGGGCCACCCAACGCTCAGCGCACCATACTTGGGCCGATCGAAGGGCTTGGCCCCGTCGTAGGCACCGCCAAAGAGCACCTCGAGATCAGGAGTCTCAAAGACGGGTGCCAGGGGGGTCTAACCACCTTCTGAGGATATGGTTGGAGCCCTAGGGTATATACTTCTCCTTCGTGAAGTACCGGGATCTTCTCGAAATCAGCTGCTTCTGTCACAATTGAATCCCTAGAAGCCCAAGGTCGACTATATGTTTGGCACTGCAAGTGGGCACCACCGAAGCAAAGGAACTTCCTCCTTTTCACCTAAAGACCTGGCCTATAGAAGACATCTAAAGGCATCTTAAGATTAAGACCAACTTTGCACGGTCAGTAATACCCTAGAAGTCCAGTTCGACTCTATTTTGACCGGCTGAAGTGTTCAGGAAGTTCCCAGACTCAGGTCCCCGTTCGTCAGACCATTCTTTTTATAGTCGACTTGACACCCAGGGAATATATAGACGACCGGACTGCCAGAAAGCATGCAGCAGCTAGAACATGTGTAAGTAAAAGATGTGGATCAAGGGTCCGAAGCTGATCTCTCCTGTGTCACTCTTGGTCACACTTGGGGCTTCAAACGACGATCAAAGACACCAAAACAGCTATGCCCTGGGAGTCAAAGACTTTATAATTGTCATTTTAGGGGACCAGGAAGGGAACTTCCTTTACTTCAGCCGGTCAAACTATAGTCTTTGGACCTCTAGGGGTTACAGCATGAGAATCTCAGGATAACCCAACCAAAAACATCTCGATGTGGGCCCCTTGGCGTGAACAGCTCACCTTGGAAGCCCAGTTCCCACTGCTTCAACGCTTCCCTCCACCTCTTGATCCCCCCTCGCTCTTCTCACCCGCCGCGCCCCCGCCCCGCGCCCCAACGCCCTCGCCGTGCGCGAAGTCGACGGTCGACGGTCGAGCTCGGCACGTTCTCCCAGTTCTGCCGGGTCCGGTTTTCCGGGTCCAAGGCCTGGACGCGAACCCGGAGCGGAGCCAAGCCGTCGGAACAGAACGCCGGAGGGACTCCTACAGAGGTAGGTTAAGTGACCGGACCCCTCAGACCCGTCACCAGCTGTACTTATAAGGAGAGTCGAACTAGGGTTCTGACCCACCTCTGCGAGGTGGGAGGGGGCTGAGTCGAGAGGACGATCCACCTATGAGGTCCAGGTCTCCAACGAGTCTCCTTCAAACGGGTTGGGGAAGGGACCCCAGGGAGGGCCCAATGGAGGCCGTGGGGTCCTCTCTAAGTGGTCTCATTGTTGGGTGATCCTGTTGGAGGGGGGGTGGGACAGATTCACCCTAGATGGGTCGAATCCCGAACCATGGGCATGATATAACATAACCCATGCTTTACAAAAGGTCTGTCCCATATTGATGGGCCGGGCAAATGATCAGAAATCGGAACTGGTTGCCAGTGGAAACCCCGAACAGAATTTTCCCATTGATTTTCTTGCATGCTTCGTACACCCTCTCATGGCCCATTGGGGACGCGCCCCAAAAACGCCCAGAAAGCCGCTGGACAACAACAGCAGGTCAGGCATGGTCAGGCCAAACGAAAGCCGCTGGTCTTTCGCCCCAGGGGCTCCACAACTGGTCTTCGTCTCAAACTGGTTGCGGTAGAACTCGTCCACCTGCGACCGCCAGAACGCCGGGCGGAAGGTGAGGCGTGGTGAGAAGTCACCGTGGTGAGTCACACCATGCTCAGTAGCCACGTAACGAGTGGCCACGACCCACACCAGCAGTCACCAGCATGCAAGGAGTCCGGGGTCGAAGAAGGGCGATCGAAACCACTGCAAAAGCCTGGGCCGGCTGCTGGCATGATTGGCATGTCTGTCCAGCTTCGCCCGTCCCCGGCGAATCTGGGCCAGGTGCCTCGAGGAAGGCACCCACGCGATCCAAGTGCACATGGACCACCACGGGTGCCAGGTCCTGCCGGATGGCCGAGGATGGCCAAGGTGAAAACATCGAAAGCCCGGGATGAAACCGGATGTCATGGATGAAGCCCGGCCTAAGATTCCTGGCCCACCATCAATTGATGAGGCTGAATCCTGAACCAACCAAGGTGTTTGACCATGTTTTACCTATAAGGATTTGGGGCACTACAAACAACCAGGTCGACCATTTTAAACATGGTCTTGCACTCCCAGGGTGCTGGCTTTGAGAGGTTGGGTCAGCGAGAAATATGACCTAGATGGACTCCCCGGAGCAGTTGTTTGGTGCTACGAAGAGCGCCAGCGCCCTGGAGCGCCATCTGGAGCGGCACGAACGGCTTTCAGAACGGTCCCTGGGTGACATGAGATGCAGACGACTGGAGTTCTTTGGGTGTAATGATGGTCAACAGAGTTCAAATCAAGGAATGGAGGGCACGATGATGACAGGGCGCCGGATCAGCGACTCGTTGTTTCTCCCCGAGGTTCT